ATTAAAAAGGGAAGCCTCGATTATCTCGCAATCATTGAGGCTATGGCTTTTAAGCAAGATTAACTCGGTCGCGTTTCCAGTACCCTTATGGTTAATAAGGCAGGATGGCCGTGGTAGGGTTCAGTTAATATTACTTTCGTTGACAGTGCTCTTTGCTCCTAGATTCTGGTAATACCTTTCTAGATTGAGAGGTCTTGATCAAATGGTCTTCCCAGAAGAACTAGATGTGGATGAGTGACTTATCACATCGTGCACCGCGAGCAGTTTTTTTTCATTGGTCTATGGGTACTTCTTGGGATGAAGTGTGTGATTTTCTGAAGGGTTTGGGGAGTCCTCTGGCATACCTAGTCGACAGAATATGAGAAAAGGTTTGTTTGCTGTCGATGTTGAATAGAGGTGTATCTATCTACAAACCTTTATCGATCGTGTCATATGTTCTTGTTGTTATGAGTCTGGATGGACTAAAATGAATAAGACTTAGGCTGTGTCCAGATTTTAGGTGCTTTTTACTTCTATCATCTCCAAATATTATTGAATTCTTTTAGATATTAAGAAAATTAAGGATTACTTAAGGAATGATGGAAAGACTAGTTTTTGTTTTTTTTGTTTTTTTGTCAAAGGTCCTTTCTATTGGAATGACAATTGTTATTATATGGAACCATGTATCTGAGGAAGTATAATTTATAAAAAAAAAAAGCAGCTCTATGGCGGTTGTAAGATTATTTGTTAAAACATTTGTCTTGGCTGAATCATGATATAGGCATTCCATGATCGACAGTTATATCCATAATACTTATGCTAATGCTCCAAGTTTGCCCTTTATAATGGAGATGCGTATTTGGTGTCCATCTTATTATTTCTTGTACTTTTAATGACTTCAGGTGTTAATAATGAATATTGCATTTAACAATATCTCTTGGTATTAGTAATTTTTTAAGAAATAATTGTTGGTCGGGAGTTTTCCTTTCCTGAAAATGGGAATCTATGATATTTTTTTTTTGGTCAACAAAGAGATGATTAGATTGTAAGTTCAGCACTATGTGGCAATCTTTGTTTCTTTGTTTTATAAGCTTTGCTGAACTATACGGCAATGTGCTCATCCTTCACTACTTCAGGAACGAGGGAACTAGAATTCAATACTTTTTTCTTGCTCTTGATTGCTTATAGTGTATTATCAAATTGTTTTCACAATCTTATGAGCATCGATATATTTTCTCCCATAGTCGTGCTAGAGAATTTTGGATGTATCAGGCTTTTCTACTTCTGTGAATGTTGTTATGATGTAGCTTTTAATTTTCATTGATATAAGCACTAGAATTCGTTTGGGACGGCTTTTTTATTGCTTTCTAAAATGGAGTTTTAGTAAAAAATAAAAAAATTTGTACTAAAACTCTGTTTTAGAATGCAGTAAAACAGCCGTCCCAAACGAAGCCTCAGTCTCTCAACCTAACTGGTCTTTTCCCCATAACTTTACTAGCTCTATTCATAATGCCATCTCGGATATTCCAATATCGAATTCTGCCGTTGATTATCCTCTTTGGTGTGGTTTTGAAAGTCCTACTTTTAAATCCTTTTGGTAGACTACTATAAAGATTTGGAGATGGCATCTTGGTTTAAATTTGTGTGGCACAAAAGAGCTTTTATTAGATTTTCTTCTTTTAATTAGTTGGCTTTGATATGGGGGGTCTTAAGATTGTTGATCAGCTTATTCTTAAGAATGTTCTTACTCAAGTCTCTTTGCCTTTTTTTGTTTTTGCTTTCCTAGATCTATCACTCATCTCTTTTTTGAATTTGATTTCTCCTTTAAAGTGCTGATGGCCCGTATTCCCGTGGCTTTTGTTTTCTTGTTTAGGTCTTCTTGTGGGCTAGAGTATTCGTGGCGGTAAAGTACGAAAAACATCATGTCTTAGCATTGTACGAGTATCCAACATACAAACAGAGTAAAAAGAACACCAGAATTTTTACACTGAAAACTCTGAAGGGAAAACCCATTGGGCCACGCCCAATTAAATGGTTCATCCTTGAAATTTAGGACGATCAAATTACACAAATCAACCGTCGTGTTGAAAACTAGTGATAAATGCATATCGGATGAACATTTGGTGATATTCAATGGTCGAGCAGAAAACCTACGTCGATTGGTAGCCGGGCGGAAGTCTGGTGTCAATACGGCGACAGACATAAGTCTGGCGATCGGAGGAAATATGGTAACTGGTGGAAGTCCGATGATGGACGGAAGTATGGTGTCGGGCAACGAGTGTTGGTCCAGCGGAAGTAAAGCCTCTCTAACTTCAGTTTTACTAATACGCCGATAAAAACATAAATCTTTATTTTCATTTAGGGTGCTAAGGTCACTATAGTCAATCTTATTTTTACAATCTTCATTAAAAAGTTTAGCAAAATATCTCATCCATCTTTATTGAATATCATTTTCTAAGAAAAGTATTTTTTGATATTCATCTTTAATACACTTCACTTGAACTAAATCTTTACTACTCATATCTCTTTGTTTAGCTAACTTATACATATATCTTTCTCCCTCTTTAAGTCTGACGGGTAAAAATTCGACGTTGTACGGAAGTACGACGACGGGCGGAAGTCTAGCGTCAGACAGAAGTCCAACGGAAGTCTGCGTGACGGGCGGTGGTTCGACAGAATTCCTGCAACAGTTGGTGGTCTAGCGGAAGTTCGCACGGTGGTCAAGGAGGAGTTTGGTGGCAAGAGAGATCTTAATTTTCTCTTCATTCTTTCTCTCCTTCTCCCTTTTCTTTTTCCTTTTTCCTTTTTGTGAAGAATGGGGGTCTATTTTTAATTTTTGGGGAGTGACATGGCTAGTAAATAGTGAGAAGATCCATGATAGGTTGGCTGTGTTTCAGATGAATGACTGATATTGATTTCATTGATCATGAACTATTTATCTAGGATTTGAGTGCCTTAATGATGCAAAAATTCAAAGATCTTGGGCTCGTTGGATTCATCTCGTCGAGTCGCTCTATTCAATTATAAGCATGTCACGTTTGGAAACCGTTTGATCATCCAATTTATAGTTTGAACTTTCTAAATGTGCTTTGGATTGTTGATTTGGTTGGATTGAGTCGAATTTGGTGTCATTGGGTTTATCTTTTCGAGACATTCAGTTTGACTATAAGTTTGCTGAAATCAGAGTTTGGATGGCCCTAGATTTAATTTTGAAAATTTACAACTTAGAATTTGCCTTGGGATTCATGCCCATTCACGATAAGTTTTGATGATTTTGCCTCGAGATTCAGTCTTCCATTTACTCTCATACATATTAGATTAATATTTTATAGATGTTAGATATTTAAAATTTTATATGAATTTCTTAGGTAAAATTTTAATCTCTTTTTTTTTTTTTTTTTGCAGGGAAAAGGATTATTATGATATTAAATTAATTAAAATATATGTAAATAAGATATTTTTGATATTTTATAAAATTTTAGAGCGTTATATAATATTTAGCAAAATCTAAAAAAAAGGAAATGATAATTACTCAATGTAATTAGAGTGGGCGCCCCTGTGGCCTGCCTCGTTGGCATTGAATTGTTAGTAATAATAATTTTATAAAGTGGCTTACATTGAATGAAGCACACACATAATCATTTGAGACGTTTTTTATTACTTTTTAAAACATAATTTTAGTAAAAAAAAATTTAATTTTTGCCAAACGAAGCCTAAGTTAAGAATTCCAAAAACTAATAATGTTAAGTACTTTATGAAACCATTAAGTTTGTTGATAATTTGCTTATTGGAATATTAATGAGTATATTAACAACCATTAAGTTTGATTGTTCTCCTGCACTGCAATGAATGACATATCACCGAAATGACAAATATTGTAGTAATATTAAGTTCTATGAGAAAAAAATATATGAGTGATATTTTTTTTGTGCAATTTATTATAAACTCCTCGTCTCTTGAGTATGATTCATGTCAAATAAACTACGACAATATAAACAAAAAAATAGAATGTGACCTAATCACATATTACGCCACCAGACATTCGCCTGACTGCCGACCACCGCACCATTGCATGCTGGCCGATCACCGTCAGACATTTGCCCGGTTGTCGACCGCCGATAGACCTTCACCTGGTTTCCATCAGCATCCCACTCCAACCATTGTCGTCTGCAAACGACAATCCCTCCGACCACCATCCCCTGCTGATTATAGTCCACTCCAACCACTGTCGTCTGCTGATAAGGGTTTTCCATGTAAAAGTCTTAGTATCTCTTATGACACTTGCACATTTCTCTCTTATATGTATGTATGCTGGATTTTCATACAAAACATGGATGGTAAACTCTATATCTCTCCATTATCACAAATGTTTCAGGACGTAACAAGTAAAAAAAATATTTTTAATCAACACGCAATAAAATTAATTTTAAACTATTTGTAGTAAGTATTATGTTAGAAGATATGATATTTTAAATTAGAGTTTTTAAAAGTTTTCTATATTTACTAAATTTTTAAACTATTTTTAAAAATAAATAATATATAATTAATTTTGATATGACAATTGAGTCTTTTAATTTATGGCTAAAGCGATAAAGCTGATAAAACAACCAAATAATTTATATGTATTTTTAAGTTTACATAAACATGCCAAAAATAATCTAATCAAATAACTACCAATTTATTTAAACAATATTTTTTTAAAACTGCATTTTCTAAACAATCGCTTTTAAATAAACTTTGTGCAACCAGATGAGGCCTAAATTAAGAAAGATTATAACGGACAAGAGAACTGTCTATTTTTGGGCAAATTAATGCGTCCAGTGTCGGATTCATCCGGACACCAATCCGGTGTCGCCACGACGTTAAAATACACCGAGACCTAGTGTATTTGGATGATGTGGCGTCACCCGACTGGATGTCCGACACAAAATTTGCTACAGGCACTTTTTTACCTAAAACTGATACTTTCACTCGATATAATAAAAGTTCCCTAAATAAAGCCTTAGACTGCTCTTTCGATTAATTTTTATTCTCAGAATTAAAATCTCAGTTCTTTTTTCTCTTTCTTCTCGACCTATCAGAGAGATGCTTTCTCTTGCACGAATGACGAATTTTGTGTCGGTTTCCCAATTGGTACGATCTCGTTTTCCCTGTGTTCTGCTACCTGCAGTTGCTATCGTAGTATACTTTAACAGTTTCTTAAGCAAAAAATGAGGGTTTTTGCCTTATTTCTGTTTATTTGATCGGATATCAATCGAAAAGATTGATTAAAGGGAATCCTTTTTAGTTTTTGTTAAATTTTTATAGTTTCGACTTTTTTTTTAAAGCTGGTCGAATCAAAGAGGAATTTTTCTTTGTTTTCACTTTTGAGAAAAACTTGTGTTGTTTTAGGTATTTGATTTACATTGCTTGAATGTTCACAAGATTATGATAAAAAGGGAAGCCTTCGGATTGATCTCCAATCTTCGAGGCTTTATGGCTTTTAGCAAGATTAACCTCTCCGCCGTTTCCAGCTACCCTTATGGTTTAATAAGGCAGGATGGCCGTGGTAGGGTTCAGAATATTAATTTCGTTGAAAGTCGCTCTTCTGCTCCTAGTTCTGGTAATCCTTCTAGATTGAGAAGGTCCTTGAATCAAAATGGTCTTCCCAGAAGAATAGATGATGGAAGTGCTCTAGCACATGCCGTTGCACCGCCGAGCCAGTTTTTTCATGGTTCTAGGGTACTTCTTGAGGATGAAGTTGGTGTGAATTTTCTGAAAGGGTTTGGGGAGCCTCCTGGCATACCTAGTCGACAGAAATATGAGAAAATGGTTGTTGCTGTCGATGTTGATGAGGGTATCTATCTACAAACCCTTTATCGATCTGTGTCAATTCTGTTCTTTGTTGTTCATCGAGGTTTCTGATGGACTAAATAGTATGAATAAGAACTTAGGCTGTGTCCAGATTAATGTAGGTCTTTTACTTCTATCAATCTTCCAACTATTATTGATTCTTTTTAGATATTGAAGAAATTAGGTTTACTTAAGGAATGATGGAACACTAGTTTTGTTTTTTTTGTTTTTTTGTCAAAAGGTCCTCTTTCTATTGGAGACAATTGTTATTATATGGAATACCATGTGATCTGAGGAAGTATAAATTTATAAAAAAAAAAAGCAGCTCTATGCGGTTTGCTTAAGATTATTTGTTAAAACATTTTGTTCTTGGTTGAATCATGATTATAGGCATCCATGATACCCACTTATCCATTAATCTTATGCCTTTAACTGCTCCAAGTTGCCCTTATAATGGAGATGCGTATTTGGTGTACCATCCTTATTATTTCTTGTACCTTTTAATGACTTCATGGTGTTAAATAATGAAGATATTGCATTTAACATGCAATCTCTTGGCTATTGTACATTTTTTAAAATATGTTGGTCGGAGTTTCCTTTCCCTGAAAATGGGAATCTATGATATTTTTTTTTTGGTCAACAAAGAGAGATTAGATTGAATTTCAGAACTACTTGGCAATCTTATAAGTTCTTGTTTTAAGCTTGAACTATAGGCAATGTGCTCATCCTTCATACCTCAGGAACAGAGGGACTAGATTCATCTTTTTTCTTGCCTCTGATTGCTTCTAGTGTATTATCAAATTGTTTTCACAATCTTATGAGCATCATATATTTTCTTCCCAAAGTTCGGCTAGAGAATTATTAGATGTATCAGGCTTTCTACTTCTGTGAATGTACTTCTAGATGTAGCTTTTAATTTCATTGATATAAGCACTTATGAAGCACCATTTGTCAGAGAATAAACAGATTACTGCATTTTATTTCATAGATATAATGAAATGAAATGTTCAAATTGCATGTGGATATTAACATGTATGGGCAAGTACATATAACTCATTATATTTAGTTATTCTCATTTTTTTAAAATTGTTAGCTTCATTTAGAAAATGTTCATAACCTTTTCATTATTTTTGAAATTTAATGATTGATTTGTAAAAGCTGTGTTTAAATATTTTGACAATGCAGACAGCTATGGATCCCTGAATGAGTTTTTGGGCCTTACTGGATTTTTTGTGAAATCCTGGTGTAATTCAAAACTGAAATCACACTTGTGCATCATCCGAATACATGATCCATTAGATTTTTTTTTTTTTTTTTTCTGTTTAAGAAGTCTCTTGCAAGAGCAAATGCCAGGAGGAGCCATATATCAATTAGGCTTCTGGATTAGTTACTTTGGTATGCTTGTAATGCCCTGGGGCTGTGTAAGTCACATGTTAGTTTTGCTTTCAAGATTTATCATCTAAACTGACATAATGACATTTCATCTTTTGATATTTCTACCAACCTATGAAGTCTTCATATTATTTTTGGCACTTTCTATAGGTTTATGTTTTCTCCATTATCTAGTGATTTTGTGTCTTTTTTTTCCATCAGTGTTAACAAAATGGATTTTCAAGGTGAAAGCTATCATTCTTCCTCCTTTTTTTAGGGAGCATAGTGAATTGTATTGGCCTTTTTGATCTATTTGTATCCTGATTAAGGGGTTTATTCTTTGAAGAGACTTTGCTTTGCTAGTTTTAAATTTCCACTAGTGGTGAGATTATTGGGTTCATGGTTTACGGGCAAAGCACTTAGAGTGTAAAGATTTTTTAGCGTCTGTTTCATTTTCTTCTACCTTTATTTAAGGATTTTTGCATGTCTTAAACTTGGTTGCTTACTGTATTGGACAATATTCCCTGCTAAATTCTTTAAGTGAATTTTTAATCGAAAAGAAATTTAATAACAATAGTCTTTTAAACTAAACTATCAAATCAATAGTTGTCTACTTTTTCTTACAATTTTTATATTTTCCTAATTGACAGTCCTCGGAAGCTTTCTCTCTGCATTGAATAAGTTTATTACAGATCACTACGGATTGGATCATGAAGTTTCAGAATATTATGTCTACGAGTTCTATAGGGTATTCTCCTATCTCCTTTACCTCAAAGATTTGTCTTTTTTTCTTTTTTATGTTTGTCATATGAAGCATTTTCCTTACTATAGTTTTGGAGGGCTTTTTTATTATTTGACCTATTTCCTCATCTTATTTCTGTTTTCGTTCCATAATAAACAGATTTGGAATTGTTCTCGAGCAGAAGGTATTACTATTCGTTATATGTTCAAATCATCCAAAATTCCATCAATTTTTATTTCATGGAATTTTGTCACTTTTTATTGATGCCCTGTTCATGCATATTGTAACAATATTTTGCAGCTGATATGCGAATCCATGAATTTTATAATTCTCTCTCCTTCAGAATAGGAATTGATCCCATCCCTGGCTCTCAAGCCGTTCTTCGAAATCTTTCAACATTTTGTGATCTATCAGTTGTTACGTAAGCCTCCTTTTAATGTGCTATTTAAATATTCTCCATCATGGAAGTGAATATTTTCATGTTTGTCAAATTCTTACTCGATCCTATTCCTCCTTAGCAGATCTCGGCAAAATGTGATCAAAGCTAACACAGTTGATTGGATTGAGAAGCATTATCCCGGCATGTTTAAGGAGATCCAATTTGGAAATCACTTTGCTTTGAATGGGAAATCAAGGCCAAAATCTGAGATTTGCAGGTGGGTTATTTATAGTCTCGTAAGTCTCAACTTGAATTGATTATTTTTGAAGTACCCAATAGCTCGGTTAAATATTAGTTTGGCATTAAATGGAATAGATGCATTTGTTTTAATTCATTAAAACTTTTGCTGTTTGACCGTCAAAAACGTGCATTTGTTAAAAAATACTAATATATAAACATGTGTAAATTAAAATTTGCCATATTAATATATCGGGATAAAGTTTGAATTCCATTTATTAGATATGTCTTGGATATTCAAGTGTAAATTAAATAAAGTCAAGTTGGTCTTAATAATTGAGAAAATATTTCAAACCAAAATAGAATATTTAACTTTCATTAATATCTTCAGATTTCTCTTTTTCTTTTTTTCGTATTATTAAATATTTGATATTGTAGGGCTTATATCAAAACTAGAGAGTTATGTTGGTAATTGCAAATTAAAGCCTAATCTTATTTCCATCGAGTATTAAACCATACTTTGGTGATTCAGGGACCTTGTGCTTCTCTTCTCAAAACTAATAAATAGAGGCTAGTCGTTTTGACAATTCATGTCTCTCTCTAAGTTGTAATATGTAGAGTTTCTGGCTATATTTGTACTTCCCAATAGAGATTGTGATAGTGATCGTTTAAGGAAGGAGATCATTTGCTTTGTGCTTGGAAATCTGGTAAGAGAATATTTCTTCTTCTATTCTTTGGCTTTCTTGTGAGAAATTTTACTCCATATGTAGTGAGATTTTCTCCAATACTTTATTAATTTTTGCAAAAAAGGATTTTCTATTATTTTTTCTCTCTCTTAGTTTGTACTCCATAGTTTGGTAATAAACTTTTTGTGCCAACTCACACTGTGAATGTAGGTTATTTTGACTTAACAACATAAATCCTAATTTTCTTTTGTGTGTTATTGTTTTAGTGCTCTCTATTTTATTTATGTGTAGTGCTAGTTTTGTGTCCCTTTGGGTAAATCCATTGCTCTTTTTAATGTTCTCAAAAAGAGGCGATTTGGCCCTTTTGCTACAACAAATTGGTATAAGATTTGCTACATTAATTCTTCGGAAATGGTGTCATTCAATGAATCAAAGTCTTCTTCCACCACTACTAAGTATGAGTTTGAGTAGTTCAATGGAAAAAATGATTTCAGTATTGAGAAAATGAAGATCAAAGTATCTTTGCCTTAGGTTTATGTATGGCATTGAAAAGAAGGATTCCCTAACATGGATAAAAAATTGCTTAATTCGGCTGTCCATAGTTTGGGAGATGGACTTTTTTCACAGCGTAATAGATTAGAGTAATATATAGGATATGTAAGAAAAGTTGAAGCCCCTCTACATTATAAATTTAGTATCTGTTTTAATTTGAAGGAAAATTTGTTTGTATTTCTCATGAACGAGGGCACATGACTACTAGAACAGTTGTTTTCCCACAATAGGTTTTTGTCAGGTTTTGCAAATTTGGATGGGAATATTGAATAGAAAGATGATGCTTTTATCTTGCTATGCTTTCCATCATCCTCTGATGAGCATATTGCTACTATGTTGATGTTCTGATAGGACTCTATTTTTATAACAAAGATGAAATCATTTAATCTATCAAATGGGTTGAGAAAGAAGGTACAAGGTGTAAGACCAACCATGCAACTTACTTGTGAGGACAAGAAGCTTGGAGAAAGCGACTGAGGAAGAAAGATGAAAATCTAGATCAAAGTTAAAAAAGAAAGGTTATGTAGGCTTGTGATTCGATCCAAGCAAATCGGACTTTGTGAAGGCTCGAGTTTGGTTTAAACTTTTTATAGGCCCGATTTTTTTGCTGAGAAAATGACCATTACTCTTTATAAAGGATCAGAATGATCCTCAATCCTATTAGAAGATCTTTTGATCCTTCAAGTCCTTAAAAAAGAATCAAAATAGTCTTATGGTGGGATTATTTTGATTCCTCTTTAAGGAATTGAGGGACCAAAATGATTATTTTAGATAGTTGTCGACTAATTTGATCTTTTATTAAGAGTCAAGGGATCATTTTGGGCTTTTTCTCTTTTTCTTTTTTTTTTTTTTTGAGCATAACCTGGGCTCAAATATGCTGAACTTAAGCTCGACTCAATTCTGATATTGCACCTTAAATTGAGCTCTAACTTGACCAATTTTTCATAGCAAGAAATGAATTCTTAAAATGCTAGGCACATGAAATAATAACCATTATGTAACCTAAAAGTATCATGCCATTAAAAACTTTTTTCTATACAAATTTATCATAGATTGAATTATCCATATATGAGAATAACGAGAAAATCCCCTCAAATTTTGATTAGATATTACAAATTTTTTATAGTATTTGATCTTCTCCACTCATTGTTCTTGAATTCTTTTTTTTTTTTTTGCTTTTGTGTTTTTGCTACGCCTCTTGTGCTTCATTTGGGACGGCTTTCGTACTGTTTCTTAAAGCGGCTTTTCAGTACAAAATTTTAATTTTTGTATTAAAAATCAATTTTAAGAAGCAGTTAAAAAGCAGTCCCAAACAGAGCTTTAGTTTGTACTTCCCAATACATTGATAGTGAATTTGTTTGTACCTCCACAGCACATGTAGGTAATTCTTGACTGCAGCACATATATCTTTTCTTATCTGTGTGGTTTTTTTATTGTTTTCTATCATATATGCATGTGGTGTTGTGTCTCTTTCTCAAATTTTGCATAGGAACTCTGTAATCTTAATTTTAGACTTTTAGTTAGTCTTTATTTATTTTCTCATCACAATGGGGTTATATTTTGACCTGTTACTTATCAGATGATATTCTGATGAAATATTGTCTATTTATCACCACAATTGTATTTAAAGTCACGATATATCATTTATAATTTTATAAACCAACCATTTTGTATAATTCAACCCCAATTGTGTTAGATGCTGGTGATAAACTTTTATTATGATTAGTAGATGTAAGTAATTAATTGGTGGGATCGATTTTCTTGAGTTCCATATAATATATGATGTCATAATTATTGTTTTGAGTTACTAGAAATTCGTTCGGATGAGTAAAATAGTTTGTTCGGATGTTGTGGTATAAGTCCAGACCTCAGTAGCTACAACCTTCTTACCTTCTTTTGAAGGCGAATGTCTTGGCAACAATAGATCTGCACAGTATTGAACATATAAGTTCGTAAGGGACTCCTCATTGGGAAAATGCCTTGGTGAGCTTAGCTCTCTGTAAAATTAGGAGATTCACTTGAGATTGTGGATGGATCAAAGCCTCAACAACCACCTCTCTTGAAATTTTATTATATGAAGTCTGTTTAGTGCTATGACTAGGGGCAATGTCTCAATTACTACAATCACATTGAGGACTGTATTAAGAAGTCCACTTGGGGATATGACCTAGGTTTCATTTGAGATAATTTTTTTATTGTTTTACTTTTTTGACTGCAACCACATATTTTGTTTGGCCATTATTTTCCTATTGCTTTAAACAATTTTTTGTTCTAGAAAGTTGTTTTCTACAATAGCTTTAAAAAGTTATTTTCTCAATGATAACATCCTTGCTTGAGATTGAATTAAGAAACTACTTAGGATTGTGGCCTAGACTTCATTTGGTTCTTTCTATCCTTTTGTAAAAGATTGTTTTAGAAATATTGGTTAAGGGAATGGAGTTGTCTAACGGAGAAGCAAATATCAAAAAGCTTCTCAAAACAATAGAAAAATGAAGTTCCCTAAAAAGCATTTATATAGAAGCATTTCATCCAAACAGTGATCAAAAAAATAATTTCACCATTTCTAAACAGAAAATATAAAAAAACGCTGAAACTAATGAGGCTTTAGTTTAATGTCTCAACGGCCACAACCTCGGTTGACAGACTTATGGCCAGAGCTAATGCCTCAGCAATTACATGGATCTATTTCGATCGCTTTAAAATGATCATAATTGGTCATATTTATGTCGAAACCTCGACATTATTGCCGATCCGATACTTATCAAGATTTTGATGCCTTTCATCGAATGATTGCGATTAATTATGAGCTATTGTTCAATTCCACATCACTAACATGTCAAATTTAATTTCTACTTCATATTGTGACTGCATCTGGGTGTTGTAGATCTCTTGGTGCTCGAGTACTGATAGATGATAACCCAAGATACGCTCTTGAATGTGCTGAGGCTGGCATCAAGGTTCTGCTCTTTAACTACCACAACTCTTATCCATGGTGCAAGGATGGCTATGTAGATTCCCACAGCCTTATTACCAAGGTTTATAGCTGGGAAGAGGTAGAACAACACTTGATATCATGGGCTGCTGCTGCATGGAAATGACTATGCGTTCATTTTATGCTTTTACAGGTTTGGATTCTTGGTGCATAAAAACTAGTTAAAGCTAGTTACTTGAGGGAGGCTTTTAAAGTTTTTTTTTTTTTTCATATTTTTCTTAATCAGCAACTGTAAAATAGTAATAATTGCGCTTTTAATCCATTGAAAGCATTCTGAAAGCTTTTATGGCCATGTTACCGGCTTCAAATTTATTTGAAAAAAAAAAAAAGTTTATTTTATGATCATTCTATTAAGAAAAATTGTTCATTTAATTTAGCTATTTAAGAAATTAATGGATTATTATTTTTAATTTTATTAAATTTTTGTTGTGAAATGCAAACATTTATTAGTTTCAGTCAAATTTCGCACATTAATTGAGTAAACCTTTCCATAAATTCTATATGCCTATTTTTTAAATTCTAAATTTTTGGATGAGAAACTCTCTTTCTAATTTTTAAAATCTCAAATATAGGAAAAGAATATAAACCGTATAATTAATAATTTATTTTAAATTATTTTTAGGAGTAATATTAAAATTTAAAGAGAATATTATTGTAACATTTTTAAAAATTGATAGCAATCGAAGTGGTTTGATTATTTATTCAAATGGGACTCAAATCGAATATCATCAACTTATAACCCAACTTGAATGATTTTAGTATTGATCTTCAGCCAAAGGCAGATTTCACTCAAATGTGATCTTATTTACTACGAAATTTTACGTACAATAAAAACGTTGGGCAGTAAATCAAAGGGAAATGAAATTGAGCTTAATATACTAATAATAATTTTGTTTTGAAATAAAAATTTTTATACTAAAAAAATTTATTTTATGAAACAGTAAGAAAATGTCCCAAATGAAATATAAGATTTCATTTGAGATGATTTTCTCAATGCTTAAAATATTTTTTTTTTTCTACAAAGCTACTTTAAAATTAAAAAAAAAATCACCTCAAATGTTTGGGACGGCTTTTTTACTATTTTATCATATAAAAATTTTAATTTTTATACTAAAAAATTGCTTCAAGAATCAATAAAAATACCATTCCAAATGAAAGCTAAGGCTTCGTTTGGGATGGCTTTTTTATTGCTTTTTAAACAGAGTTTTAGTACAAAATTTTTTAATTTTGTACTAAAACTCTGTTTTAAAAAGCAATAAAAAAGCCGTCCCAAACAAAGCCTAAGTCTATATAAGTGAGACCCAACCAGTCATTTTTCTTTAAAATTAAAAAAAAAAATCACCTCAAATGTTTGGGACGGCTTTTTTACTATTTTATTGTATAAAAATTTTAATTTTTATATTAAAAATTTACTTCAAGAAACAGTAAAAATATCACTCCAAATGTTTGGGACGGCTTTTTTATTGCTTTCTAAATGGAGTTTTAGTACAAAATTTTTTAATTTTGTACTAAATCTCTGTTTTAGAAAGCAATAAAAAAGCCGTCCCAAACAAAGCCTAAGTCTATATAAGTGAGACCCAACCAGTCATTTTTATATCAATATATTGTGAGATCACACGTAAACTTCTCATGCTTAATAAATTATAACCCTTTCAATTAAAAATATCATCAAATATCATTCACCAAAAATTCACCTGGAATCTTCATGGGATATATACACTCATAAAATTTAGTAATCAACATGGAAGAATGGTCGTCTCATGGGAGCTATATATCCCATTAACTATTCGATTTTAATCATATTTTTTCCAACATTAAGAAATCATATGCCTAAACACAAACAACGAACAAAATAAAGATAGAATCCACCTTCACCGAAAAAATCAAAAAATACTACGAAGAGATTGAAATTTTTTTTGCCACAACAAATAGATCCGTTTGATTCTGCAATATCCAACACAAAGGCAAGCAGAAGATTCATATAAAATTAGCATAGCAGAATCGGATGTCAAAGCTGGAAGAGAGGCAAAGCCATGACTACACCGAAGACAGATGCAAGTAGCAAAAGATGCCAAAGGGAGACATTTCTGGTATGCCGCCTGTTCCTCACAATGTTTGCTGGAATGTTCTGTTCTACAGCATTTTCTGGTCTTTTGGCTGATTCATATGTGGTTGATGGAGTGGGATTCGTTTGCTGATTCTGAGTTGGTTGCTCTGAAACAGATTGTTCCAAGGCACGGAGCTGATTATGCTTCTCTACATATTCCGGGAATAGTTTTTTGAAATTTGGGCAGTTTTTGCTGTCAACAAAAGAGTAAAATTTCCATTAGTAATCTGAGTTCAGATTAAGGCTTCATTTGGAACGGGTTTCTTACTGCTTGTTAAAGCAGGTTTCTAGTATAAAAAATTTAAATTTTAAACCAAAAAGTTATTTTAAGAAGTAATAAAAAAAGTTGTCCAAAAAAACATTAAATTAAACTGAGTACAGGAAGCTGTTTAAATGAAGCGAGTCCAAACTATCCTAATACATAGAACCCCCTTTACGGGGAAAAAAGTGTTGAGCCAAATGTATCGACAGTTAAAAATGAAAATTTTCTTGATTTGTGTCCGAAATTGATGCGCTTGTAAGACTGCATCTCTCTTCGATTGGATCACATAAGTTGTCGACAAAAGAAATGAGTATTGGATTTATTTGTGTTAAAAAATCAACTAGCAAGCAATGATACACTAAGGTTTCGTTTGGGACGGCTTTCTTATTGCTTCTTAAATTAACTTTCTAGTATAAAAATTTTAATTTTATATTAAAAAATAATTTTAAGAAGCAGTTAGAAAATCATCCCTATATATATATATATATATATTAGGGGTTGTTTGGGTGGAAGCGTTAGCAGTGTAAACTGTAAAGCAGAAGGTTTGCAAGTATATTAAGTTTTTTGAGGATTGGTGGGAGAAAAAAGTAATTACAATGTAAAAATATTTTTTCTTTAAATACCTCGAAAGTTCTCTATCAACGCAGTTCAAAAGTGATAAATATGTTCGCACAGTTCCTTAAGTGCCCTTATGTGCGCCCCCTTTTTTCACTATGTTCGCCTTCCAAACATTCTTTCTCTGCCTAGCTTCAACGCATCCTACAAGTTAATACTACAAGGTTGCCTCAACCTGGCTATGTAACCTCTTGCAATGCCACTTTCTTGATGAAACCATCCCACCATACAACATGCTTGGTCTTCATTGGCCGTCAACTCCCTCCTGCTTTGCCTCCATTTCTAATCAATATTTTTAACCTTCTCTTGGGATGAAAACCATACAGTTGATCGGCTCTAGGTCTGATTGCCTCAGCTGAATGTAGCAGGCTCGAGGTTTCCTAAATGTTTGGTTATTAGTAATTTTTTACTTAGGCTTCGTGTAGGATGGCTTTCTTACTGCTTCTTTAGGCAGCTTTTTACAGCAAAAATTTTAATTTTTATACTAGAAAGCTGCTTTAAGAAGTAGTTAAAAAACCATCCCAAACGAAGCCTTATTCTACTGCTCGAATGATATGGATATTAGCTCTTGTTGTTTTCTATATTTTGAGAAAAAAATCATTTATCAATAGTTGTGGAGTTAACTGTACAATAGTGAGAAGGCAACCTTACCACTGCTTTTTATTGAAGCTTCACTCTTCATTTTATATCAAGCCAAACTAAAAGATTTACTTTACTAGCAAAAAAAAGCTACGAGAAATCAGAAATTAAAAAAATTACTATTGCATTCCAAAACATAAATTCTAAATGATTGCAACCAAGCAGCCCCTTAATGCAGCATTATTTCCTTTTGTCAAACCCCAGCTTTCATCATCGTTAATGTGGCTAGATTATTAAAAAGTTGATCAAGAGAAAAGAAGAGATTTCCTATTGTGGCAGATAAACCGTTACCTTTGTGTCAAATCTTCAACAACGATGGTTTAATAAATCTAATGGCAGATATGCAAGAAAAGTTCAATAAAACTACCTCCCAATAACGTTTGTTTTAAATAAACAGGTAAGTCTTAGCGGTATAACTTGAGGCAGTATCACAAGTTTAACTCCGAAAATTATATAGCTATTCAAACTATGATAGTTCAACAAATCACCATTATAAGGGGCTTCAAAGAATTCACCTTTCACAATTATATGCAAGCGAAGCCTTGGCCAAGCGTCGCTTTTCATCATCTGTACTCTTAATGCTTCCCGTAGTTTGACTATCATCCATCTGCGTACATAAACCATAAGATTTAAGCATATAAATAGGAAGATCAAGCATTCCCATATTTTAGAAAGGAGGATGCCTTAATTATCCTTGAAACCTACAGAATCTGATAAAATGCAATTTTTATTTATTTATATTTTTTTAAGGAATAACAAGTTCCAATACTATCAGTAATGGCATCTAAGTTCACACAAATAGATAAATCTGACACAAAAAAGTTATATGATTGCTTAACATTTTACTGAAAAAAAAAACCCAACAGTAATACCATTAAGTGGTGATTATGCAACCAAAAAAGATAGAATGAGTATAAGAACAATTTAATTCGATGGATTGACCTGAAGTTCAATCAATTTAGATAAATAGAAAATTCATTTAAAATTAGCAAAAATAAATTTTATATATATATATATATATTACACATTTTACTCATTTATAAAAAATATCAATACTTGAGGCAATGGCCAACAACTACACCTAAAAAATTAAAATTCCTTAAGCATCACATTTCAAAGGTATTTCATATATTCCCAACACGCCATTTAATATGCCTAACAGTATTGCCTCCCACCTAGTTCTACTAAAAAAAAAAAGAAACATCACTCACAAACGGGCTCTCCAATTCGAGCCCCATTCATATTTCTATTGATAAAGGAGAAAAAACCCCATTAGCCTTCATGCCCGTACCAATTTTTATAATCTAGCCAACCCATACAATCATCATATCTTGCTCCCATGCAGTAGCTATCCCAGCAACATATCCTCTCTCTTGCTACAAATCTCCACTAGAGCATAACTCTCCAAGTTACAATTGAAGACCTCTCTCTAAGCCTCCATCAGAAAATTCTCCCATCCACTGATCCATCATAATCATGCCATGGAACTTACACCTTATCCTTGATCACCATATATATTGCCATCATTAAGCCATATATGAAACCAAGGTTTAAAATTGTGCAATTGGTTATTTAAGTGTATTTTTCATGAGGAAGAAGCTGACATTTTGAAGTGCACGTCTTAAAATTAAATTTAAAATAATTAAAAAAATAAATTATTTGAAAGTAATCCTCCTCACGCTCAACACTACGTAGCATCAAATTTTGAGCTCAATTTCCTCTCAAAAAAAGCTTTGAGAGTAATCCAAAATTACCAAAGTACATCAAAAATTTTATTAAAATACTTAATGATCTGTAAAAATGAGTTAAATAAGTAAATATAAACAAGATGTCCAAACTTAACAAGTTAACATGTCCTTGTTCCTCAAATAAATTATTATGATGCACCGACACTTCTACTCAACGAGGTATGCAGTGCTTGACATGTATTGAACACAACAAGCCTTCGACACATGTTAGATATGCCGAAGACTGTGCAATTAAAAAATATTAAAACAAATTGTACATGCATATGCTAAATATTTTATGATTTTTTTTTTAAATACGATTTCTTGTAATTCAAATTTTTATTTATTAAAAATAAAAACTAAATTTCTTATTTCTTATCTACTAAATCAATAGCCTGCACTAAAAACCTCACTCCCTGAACATTCTCATTTTCATTTCTCTTTAATGATCACAACTAGGGTTTCACAATAATACTTGATGTCATCTCAACATCGACATTCGACACTATCACAACATCAACGTTTCAAAACCATCTCAACATCAAAATCTGGTGTTGTCTTGAAATCAACGCTCGACGCCAACAATTTATGCACACACAATCACGCCCGTACACCGCCTTGACATCTCATATTTCTCCAACGTCATTTCAACATCCACAACCAATGCTATCTCGACATCGAGGGCTGATATCGTCTCGATATCAACACCCAATGCCCAATCCAAAACATTGATGCCCGACTCTCAACACCATTATCATCTCCCCTCTTGATACCTAACACACGTCATCGATATCTCATTCGAGACATCATAATATTAATTATTTTAAGAACAAATTTTAATTAAATGACTATTTTTTAAAATTATTATTAATAGTATATTTATTCAATTTATGTACACTATTTTCAAAATATTAAAATTTTAATACTATTTCCAACTCACATCCGTGTCATATATTTTTAATAATTGAAATATCTGTTGTTCGTGCTACGTCATATATGTGTTATTGTATCCATGTTTATACATCATAGATTATGGGTCTTATGAAGTAGGCTTAGGTGTAAATTATAATGTTAATTAAGCTTTGAGATAACAAATTAAAAAAGCCTAACACTCCATAACATAAAAATTGAGGCATACATCCATAATAAACGCCTCAAATAGCACAACAACAATTATAACATATCATTCCATAACCCCACGTGAGGTTATGCCTCAAGGTGATTTCTGTGTGATATGACCTAACTTCATAATGCACAGTTTTAAACCATGCCCAAAACCAAGCATTTCTCGCAACCTTCATTGCCCCTCAATCCAGAGTAGCATCATCATTGATCATCTCTTAAAGAGATTATCAAATTCGATAAGGCGCCTCAAAGATCGGATCATCAAACTTCATACATTGATTAGCTGTCCTCAACATAGGTGCTAAATGTGAAGGATTCAATTGTGATGACTTTAAATTTAGCATCAAGAACAAAAGACAAGTGTATGCATCTCTTGGTGTTTTCCACTAACTATCCTGGGGATTTGTCTCGACCCCCAATCTTAGCATTGCAAAACTACTTTGACAAATTCGTCATTCCATACCTAGCTCGTCACAACACCTTATCAATAGTTTAAGCACATTGGTAATATTTACAATCACTCAGATCTCCACTTTAAGGCACTTACAAATTTTCATGGCAGTGTTTTTATCTCCTCAAAAGTACATCTACTGACTTCAACTTTTCTAGGTTTCCAGCAAAGCATGTTGACACATGGATTCATATTGGTGTCATAGTTGTTAAGTCTGTCTTCACCCCCAACTACTCCCACCAATCAACACATGTAACTCCTCTTCACCATCTCTTAGCACTTCCCCATTATAGTGTCTGCATATATGGGCCACCTCTCTTAGGTACACGACCACTTCTACAAAGGACTTGGCCTCCTCATACAATTGTTCAACCACGTTCTTGGTTCTCTCGATCATATGTCCAATTGCCTCAACAAATAATAGTAAGGGGGTTAACATATCATTGACACTTCTACGTGAACTCTTCACAGTTCACTCACAGATGTCGATATTCAACTCAAAAAAATTTCCTATCCCACCACTAATATATCAAGATTTCAATAGAATAATGAGGCTCTCAAATGGGGACATCCGACCGTGGAAAATTTATCAGAGCAGGAACCAGAGATCGACGGCCACGATTAGGCCACTTTATTTTTGATCTATTATTTGTATTTGATTTTAATCATGTATTTTTTCCATTTTTACCCTCATTTGAGAGAGTAGTCTTATTTAACCCTAGGTGGTACTTTTGTCTTTAAAAATGTCATTGTATTTTGGATATTTATAGCCCTTTCCCCTCATTTGAGAGGATGATGATCAATATTATGAAAATTTCAGCACTTGTGTTCTTAGAGTTGTGAGAACTCTTATGAGAGTGGAAGTCCCTAGTTGAGGACAAAATAATATCCATCAGCCGCAAAAAGCATTCGGGCTCATGACCATCTCCTCCACCAACTTCTTCTTCTTCTTTTCTTAGCACCCCCCCCCCCCCCCCCCCCCTCTTTCCAATCCCAAACCAAAACCTGACTGATCCACCCTTCCCTCTTCTCACTTGGCCCGAACCCTCGATCGCAACCCATGTCGGCACCCACCCACCAACCAACGACACCCATCTCCCTCTCTCCAAGTCCCCACCCCCCCCCCCCCCCAAGATTTGAATTTCAAAACCTAGCATTCAAGTCCTTTCCTAATTTAACTCCTTTTCAAATTTGGGAATCATTTAAATCTAGATTCAAATGAATTTGAATTTGAATTCTATTTCCTAAATAAGAAAATGTTAATTTAGAAAAGTCCCTCAAATCATGCTTTATTTGAATTTTAAATAGGAGCTTATTTAAATACCCTTTCCTATTTTAAGCTTCCAAATATAGTAATCCTTAACTCCCCAAATCAACCCCCCATACCCATGCTAGCCGCGGCCCAACTCCCTCCCTCTTCCCTTTTTTGAAACTTGCCATAACATCTCCTTTAAATAATAATTTGTATTTGGCAAGTTCCTAAATTCCCTAAATCAAATTCCCCCCATTCAATGCTAGCCGCTCCTCTCCCTTCTCTTATTTCTTCTCTTGTTTTTCAATTATTCTCCCATAATTATTCACTCCCAAGTTTGGAGATAACTTCCTTCTTCCTTGGGTCATCTTTCATCTCAAATCTCTCCACCTTTGATGTTGCTATTGCTGCCCTTAACTCGCCATAGCCAACCACCACCTTCCCTAACCCTAATCTCATTTATTCCAAGATTGGAACTTCACGTACTTGCTGTCCAAGGTTTCCAAGACCTGCAAGATTGCTGTCCAGAATTTCTTCAGACATCAGAGTGCTGCCCAAACTCTCTGGAGGTGCCATATTGTTGTTTGAATTTGAGAGAAGACTTTGCACTACTGCCCTTCCTTCAGAAGCAAGCACACATCGTCTTCGTTATCCCGTATCTCCTATTTTGGGTAAACTCTCTCCCTTCCTCACACCTTTTAATCCTCCATCAATCTTGGCATCGTGTGATCATGAAGATCTATCCGCATCGCCCAAATTAAGAGTTTAAGTAAGTGGATTCCCATAGTGACTATTCTACTTGTTAAATTAGGGATTCCTTTTAAAAACCTACATTCGCATGGCATAATTTGCTATGATTATTTTATGGTTCTAATCTTTTCTTGTGTAATTGATAACCTAAGCTTAATCACCAACTTGTTGGCTTAAAACTTTATTAAGAAATGCGAGAAGTTGACTAATTGCAAAACTCTATTCCTGTTTGTGTAATTTTCCAATCGCTTGCATTTTCTATTACATGTAGTCTTACATCACTCTCACCATTTCGTAAAACACTTTTCTCTTTTCTGAAGCATATCAGCTCGGAAACTTGTCTCCGAGCTCGTCAACTCCAGCCCTTCATTTGACAATGCCATCCCCTCATTCATCAAATACATTAAGTCACTGGGCAAGTTTATTGCTCCATTCTGGAACTCTATTTTTTAAGCAGCCTTAGTTAAACAACCTTTATCTTCGCAATCAGCTCTTTCAAGGATGTGTTTGAGACATAATTACTGCACATTACTTCTAATATTCTGACATGATATGACTAAATAATGCATTTATATCCACCTATCAATATATAATTTAACCTATCTATGTCCATACATTACATATATTCTTCTCAGCAAAAAAATATTGGCTTCTCAACAAGCTAGTTGATCCTCCAAGCAAGGTAAATGTCCTTGGCATGATTTGTAATGTTCTCAGCCAGATATTTAACACCTCACTAAGGCATGTCAGCTATTTAGTTAAATGGGAAAGCGCTTGGATGACAACAACCATATTCTTAAAATAATTCTAAATGCTATACGCATTTAATTGATTCTTGGATCTGGCAAACTCTCAAGAATAACCACACATATATATTTGGATTCATATATTGTACTCACCAGGTATTGTCAGCATACTAGTGAAGCTTTGTTTTAAATGCATTTGGTGACATATAAAGAAGAAGGTACTCATTTGAATAAGAAGGTTATGCAAACACCATCAGCTGAGTCACATTAATTTGATTCCTATGAGAGTATCTGAACTGTCCAGGCATACACAGAATCAGGATGGTTATATCACATAACTACTGGGTTGGATCTCTATTATTTTCAAACAACATGACACATACACCTCCATGACATGCAGGTGATACAAAAATATTAGGCCCAAAAGGGCATAATAATCATAATTAGGCCCAAAAAGGTCCATATAAATCAAATATATGCAATACATGAGTTTTGGTCCTCTCTTAAGAGGTACAGAAGCAACAATAATAATGCATCCAGGTGTTCTCCCAAGACGCCTCCACCTGACTTACCTGCTAATATATATAATTATTATACAAATGTTTCTACTACTGTTTCATCATTATTCATTAATATGTTACTTCACTAAGTTTATTCCTCTTTCTTCACAAATTCCCTAATGAATTGTGTTCTATAACTACTCATTTATGAGTAAGACAAGAGACCACACTTCATCATTTTCAAACCATGGCGACTAATTAGGCTCCTTAAAAGCCATGGTTGCAACCCATTTGATTTTAGCAGATTGGTCCACCAAGTTTAACTATCACAAGGGATTAATGAGACCTCCAATCCAATATCGAGTTGACTACCTATAGTACAAATGACATCTTCCAATCTAATGCTGACAACTTCCAGCCCATAATAGTACAAATGACATCCTTAAGAGTGTTCTCTATCTACAAGAGAGATATTTAACTATGGGGAACTTGCATCCATAAAAAATCTCAATCTTTTGTAATTAAAATAAATCCTAGTCTACAAGGGAAATCTCCATGAAACGCAAAGAAATCTACCCTTGAAATTCCATAATGTTCTTCGTGAAATCCCAATTGAGCAGAAGAAAATTTTCAATAAGCATTAGCTTTTTAGGATCCACATACATACTCCCACAAAATCTCTCATGCACATTAAAAAATATATATTTTAATGTCTTTAAATTTCATCAAAAAATTTATATTTAAAGTTTGAAGTTATTTTATCTATAACTAGTCCTCTTTTTCTACTGTGTATAAGTGTAAACTTAATTTAAGTTGCACATTAAAACTATTAATATATTGAGACCTTTTTCAGATCACATAGTCTAAATTATTTTACAATTCTTCAAGTATCAATGTATATGCTTTATATTTGTTTATTCAAAGTGAGGTCTATTTTAAGACTTATAGAAGTTTAATTGCAAAAGACCTGAAATTTTACATCCTAGCGACGGCATAAGCTTCATGATCACACAAATCATATTTCTAGATCAAATTGCCATTCTATGTCAGATTAGTATGCATTTATTGCTTATCAAACAAGAAAGCATAGCACTTGCAACATTACCAAACGAAGTGTTACATTACTTGGCCTAAGACAAAAGGGACAAATAGGACTTAAACTAGTGCTTCCATGCCCATGAGAATAAAACTTGGACGTTTAATATATCCCTCCTTTTATTGAGCATGAAATAACCCATTAAATCTAAACATCACCCATCCAAAAAAGGGACAATGCGGATGAAACAAATACACTAGGAAAAACGTATTGCATATCCGTAATGTTGTATATTACAAGGAAAAGGCCAAGAAAGTTGCAGGTGAAGTGAATACAAAAAAAAAATACATTATTATAGCTGGTGTAAAATGAACGTACCATAAAAGAGAGAAGTCCTGTAAGAATGCTGCATATAAAATGCAAAAAGAGAGAAAAATATAGTTAGATAACTGTAGTAAAGTTGTAAAAAGAAATCTAAGGACACTTTGCCCATATGCCTAACTAACAATGATATACATTACTAATTAAAGGTCCCTTCCACATATACATCAAACCATGTATGTAATCAAGCATGCATCTATATCCATTTAAAGGTCGAACAAAAGATGTACAATTGAGGACTTTAGATAGCACATAGAGTCAAAAGACAGAGATCCTTGAGAGCATGTAGCATTACCCCATACTAGTGTTATTTGCCATTACCTTGAGACAGACCAGATTGGGTTCCAACTCTCTGGATGAACTGAAAGATGGTGACAAGTTAAAATCAACTTTACTGTCAAAAATTAAGAAACGATTTCTGTAAAGAAACTTACAATCACTCATAGATAAGCAGATCTTTTTGTGAGGTGCAAATCGTCCACTAGGAGTTATCATGCTAGAAAACAAAAGAAGGAATAAACAGAATTATACAAAAAAAGACCCGAATAAAAACAAAAATAGTTACAAGTGTTGAACCATAGCTATTTATTTATCGTTAACCGAAGGCACGAGTAAGCTACCTAATGCTTGGAGGCTTGTATGGATATTCAGGAGGAAATTTGACTTTTCCATAATAATATCCACCTGCAAGTTAAAATCAATAAGACAACAGAGAAATCAAGAAAAGGAAAAAAATTAGTGGATGAAATAGCATTACTAAGAGAAACTTATTGATAAATATACTATTAGCACAGAATGATTCTACAAAAACCAGCAAAAAGTAATAAGACATTCATACTACACAATTACTGAAAGGAAAAACTAAAATTCGTAGCAATGACAATATAATATCAAATCCATTAATCAAGCTAAAGTAAAATATGATATAAGCATTTTAATTACCTTGAAACGGTGTGCCAGCGCTTCCCTCGAGAACATAGTCTGAATGGAGGGCATTACATTAATCAGTGCCAAGCATAATGATATAGGTAGAAATATATCGAAAAGAGGAAAAACTCAAGTTCAAATAAAATATTATTGGACCAAAAAGCTTTTAACAGTCGGAACAAAATAATTAAATTTCAAGTCAAAGATAAACCTTGGATTTATCAAGGTGATACACATACATTTAACTAGGCATTTATTTTCATATCAATTACTCGGGGAAATTATGGGTAGAAATAGTTATAATTAATTAGTATAACTACAAATAGTCATTTAGATTAGATAAATAATTATTATCTAAATAAAAATTTGATTAAGTAAATCACTGAATCCTCTTCCTATTTAATGTGTAGAACCATCTAAATGAAGCAAAGCAATTTGTGCACAAATTTATTTGTCATGGTATTAGAACCAATGCACTAAATCGGTCTTCATTTTTTTTTTCCCTTCATAAAGATCCCATGAGGATCCATGAGCCTAGTTTTGGTTTTGCTAGGCTAACTACTGTTCATCAAATTCAAATCACCATTAGTTGAAACAAGAATATGAGGTTGACTAAGAATAAACTTTTGTTCCTATAACCAAAATGACAACTGTATGAGTTATTTCAATTGTTGCTTCACAAAGATTGTCACTTCACCAAATGGATGTTAAAAGTACATTTCTTCATGGTGATCTCAATGAAGAAATCTATATGACTCTTTCAGCTGGTATTCCTACTTCTCCTACAGAAGTATGCAAACAAAAGTGGATTAAAAAAGGCACCTTGTGCATGGTTTCATAAATTTAGAACAACCCTATTTAAATTCTATTTTAATCAAAGCCAATATGATTCAACATTATTTCTTTATAAGACCTCTTGTGGAATTGCTCTTCTTCTAGTTTATGCTGATGATATTTATCATTACTATAATAGATTTTAATTTTAATTAGTAATCTACAAAAATATTTTCTAGCCACTGTTCATAAAAATTTTTTGTGCTCTTATCTATTTCTTAGATTTGAATGTGGCACTCATGTCTCTGGTACATACTTAAACCAACATAAGTATACACAAGGCCTGGTTCCTTCAGATAGCCTATAAAAGACAACCCCTGTGGACACTCATTTAAAAGTAAACACGAAGTATCATAGTGAAGAAAGTGATCTTCTTCCCGATGGCCGATACCACTACATTCAGACAATTGGTAGGCACTTTAGACCATTTAACAATTACCTAACTAGATATTTCTTCACATGACAATTTATATAAAATACTCATCGGTCGTATTTAGCTACCATTCAAGGAATCGTTCTTTCCATTTGATTCACCTCAACTTTTGAGATAAATGATGTGAATTGGGACTTATTGATACACAACGCTCAATCATAGGTAGGTATATGTTTTTTTGGTGATTCTTTGATCACCTGGAAAAATAAGAAATATCCATATAGTATAGGTGTAAATCATCTACTGAGTTTGAATATCATGCAATTTCTGCAACAAGTTCACAGATTACCTGACTTCAAGAACTTCAGTCTGAACTTGGCTTTCTCAGAACAATCCTACTCTCCATGAAGACAACACCAATGACATCTAAACTGTCGCCAATCCAATTTACCAAGAGCAAAGAAAACATATTAAAATTGATTGTCACTCAATTTCGGAAACTTCCAACAATTTTGTTATTTAGCTTACAAATATCTCCGCACACCTTCAAATTGCAGACACATTTACGAAGCCAAAAACAAGTTAACAGAAATCAATTTCTTGTGGGCAAATTGATGCTTCTTAACAAATGGAGTAATTTGAGGGGGGGATATCAACTTGGTATGCACGCATTTAATTAAGCATTTTTTCATATCGATTATTCAAATAAATTATGACTAGAAATAAGTATAATAAATTAACATAATTATAAATATTCAGATTAGGAAAATAACTATCTTTTGCTTTGTTTGGACAAATTTAATTGAGCAAATCACTCAATCACTATCTTGTATGTTACCTAACATAATTCATGCACAACTCCATTTGTTTTATTATTATTATTATTATTATTATTATTATTATGCACAACTCCATTTGTTGGTATTGACTACATCAATGATCAATTCTTAAAAAGATATGTTTGCTTAGAACAATACATCAATATCCATTGTAAGTGGCATAATGCTGCCCAACCATGATTAGAATATTCTGACAATCAATATGTTGAGAAACCAGTATGGAAGCAACATGATAAAGAGATCCTGCATCTTCACTAAAAGGCACTAAAATAATAGTAAAAACTACTACAACAACAACAACAACAAATAAATTAGTTTACACAAGATACAGCAAGCTGATATATGGGGAAAATATTAGCCCTCTTCATTTTGTGCAAATAAACTTTAATTAGTAATCTTTAGTCATACAAAATTAAATATTCAAATGAATAAATTTTGAGCATGAAGGCGTGGACCTTTAAGAGAACGCTAGAGTTTAAACATTAAAGCATCCAAATAAAGGTCAAAGATTGTACAACTTGCAGCTAGAATTATGCATTAGCGTCTAAACTAGTCAACTACAAAAGACCGGCTGGAAAGAAAAAGAAAAAACCCTAAATACTATAATCATTAGTGAGGATTCATAGCTCAAGGCTATGTTGCCTTATTCCAAAAACACTTTTGTATACTGTGAATAAAAAAATTTGACAACAAAAGCAGCTGTATTTGATAGCAAAAACCATAAGGTAAAAGTTAGACAAAAATAATTAACAAAAGCTATGCCTTTGCTAACACTAGGAGGTGGACATCAGAGAAAGACCCAACCAAGGAACCACAGGCTAGGTTTCAACAAAATGGTCAAAGTAATAACAGTGGTATCTGGTGAATGAGATCCAGATTTAATAAGCACATCCCTCATGTTCAGCGCCACTAGCCAGGTTGGAGATGAGGGGGTTGTTTGGGTGTGTGTGTGTTGTGGGGGGGGGATGAGAATTTGTTATGGGTGGAAATGGCGAGAAAGCAAAAGTCTATGCCCCACATAATTACCTACAGATAACAATCAGGCCCACTGAGAAGTTAACAAAACCATTTTGAGGGCACCATGAAGCCCATTCTAAAGCTGGATTGGTGAAGTGGACCAGGAATTGGAAAGTCTAATAACCAATTAAAAACAATACCACTAAAATGGAGTAATTATGAAGAGGAGCAAACAAGAAAAAGTTCCCATCCAAATTATGTAAGTTAACAATTATTTAGTTAACCCAAATTTTCTTCCAAGCAATAAGGTTTGGTAGGACTATTAGATTTAACAAGGGCGAAATCACATGAAGTGTACCAGTATGGAGGGAGTGCGGGGCTGAAAAAGAAGAAAATGATAGTTTTGGTCCTAAATATCAGTATATGCAATTCACAAAATTTAATGCTAAGTTGAGCAGAAAAGTGGATTAGAATAAAGCCACAAGATATTTTAACATATAACCGCATCTAAAGACAAAGAATTATTCAAATAACAAAAAAGGTAAAACCTGAAAGAGTGCAACATTAAAAGGATTTAATGATCTCATATAATGGACCAAACTAGTTTAGTATACTCACGCCATTCTAGGATATCACTGGGTGATGGACAGGCTACAATCTGGGGAACTGGTTCCTGTAGATTGGCAGTGGATTAATTAAGCATTTAAAGTGGCAAATGAAAACAAAAAAGTACAAAGAGATGTTCTGCTAAGAAAATTTAACATATGTGATATGATATTTCGCAAAAAGAGAATGCTACTGATAGGAAACACTTGAAGATCTCATGTGAAAACCTATCAATCTTGGAAAAATAGCAAGAAAATATCCACCAAACTCTGAGGAAAAATCAGAAAACAATGATTTTATTGCAATAATCAAATATAACAGAAGGAAAATACCAAGATATAGTTAATCCTTAATTCGAGAGGATCCATCTCTCCCAATCCCCAGACGTCGCTAGAGCCCAAATACGCCAAGTACTAAAGACAACAAAATCAGCCACAATTATCAGATAACCCAAACCCTAATTTTCCCTTCCTACTTAAAGCATACAATTAAACAACACAAGCCAAATCCCTCTACAACCCTAGCCGGCCCCTCCTTCCTAATGGGATTCCCTAGTGGGCCCCACAATTGCCTTGGGTGGCAACTCCCAAGGTGCGGACTTGCTTGGTCCACCTCATGTAAACCTGAGCCAGCCCTTTGCCTAGGGCCGGCTAAACTGGTACAGCATGGACCGGTCTAACAATACCCTCATCCCAAAGAATCACCTTGTCCTTAAGGTGAAAGGAATGAAACTGATGCTTCACCCTCTCATAGAGCTCCCATGTGGCGTCGTAGGATGGTAGGCTCTTCCATTTGATCAGAACTTCCTTAGTTCTCTCTTCTCCCTGATGAACCCCCATCAACTCTACTGATCTACCTCAAGTCCTCTGTCAATGTCACTGGTAGCTCAGAACTCGCGTTGCAGGATCCCCAATTGCCCTCCTCAGTTGGGATACATGGAACATGGGATGTATAGTTGATGTCGATGGTAATTTCAGTCGATATGCCATCACTCCAATGCTCTCTAATACCTCATATGGACCAAAGTACATTAGGGCAAGATTCTCATTCCTCCTGTTGGCAACTATCTTCTGCCTGCAAGGCCGGAGCTTCAAGAAAACCCTCTCTCCTACCTCAAATTGGATGTCCTTCATATGCCCATCTGCATGTTTCTTCATAATCTATTGAGCCCTCAATAGATGTCTCTTCACTTCTTCCAACACCCTATCCCTCTCCTCCAAGTACTCCTCTACTAAAGAAATTGGGGTGATTACTATGCAAAAAATGCACCAGGTGAGGTGGATCCCATCCACACAACACTTTGAATGAGGTCATCTGAGAAGCCGAATGATAATGAAGTGTTGTACCAGTACTCTACCTATGTTAATCACTTGTCCCACAGCCGGGTGTCTCCGACACAAAACATCATACGTATGTCTCCAAGCTCCTATTGATCACCTCTGTCTGTCCATCTGTCTACGGGTGATAGGCAGTGCTCCTCTTCAGTACTGTCTCATGTAGTTTGAATAACTCCCTCCAAAAAGTGACTGAGGAATACATTATCCCCTTTTAGATACTATAGACTCTAGTATTCCATGCAGTCTAACCACCTCCGTGATGAAAGCTAATTGATGTAGGACTAAGTGCTTAAATGGATGAAATAAGAATTTGCACGAGTTCTTGAATTAAGCAATTAAAATTAGAACTATTAGCAAATACAAACGATCAAATAAAACATAAGAGTGGTCACTTCCGTTTAGGCTAAGTTGCACACTAAGCACTTGGATTATCAAAACAACATAGAAAATCAAGTCATGCAAATAGAATAGTTTTCAACAAAAATCCCTAATCTAACAATAAGATTAGAAGCAAATAAAAGTGCAATCAATCCTACGTTTACTAAGCTTTGGCAATGGCGAGATAAAATCCTACGTTTACTAAGCTTAGGCAAAGGTGAAGCGTGGCTCCTTGTGATTCGTCATCACCTACAAAATTAGAAGATTAGGAAAATAATTGAAAAGAAGGGAGAAGTTCACCTTAGTCAAAGTCGGGAAACAAATAGCCGAGATGTTGAAGAAGTTGTCGTAGGAGAAGTCATATATTGTTTTCGGGTCAGCCATCCATGCGAGACGTTACTGTTTTGACTTTGGGAAGGTTGGATGACAAGGAGAGGCTTCTCCGATGTTGCTACAGCAAAAAGAATCCAGCCGAAACTGCTGGACAGCAGTTTACTGTGTTTAAACTTCAGGACAGCAGGTATAATCTGTCCAGAATGCAGAAATCTTTTCTGGACAACAACCTATATTGCTCAGAAAAGCCTTGGGCAGCTTCTTTCTGATGCTGGAAAACTTTGGACAGCAATTTCGGGCTTCCAACGGTGCAGGACGACAGGTTTCCCTGGCTGGATAGTGGGGCAGGTAGCAGAATTTGGATGTGGAGAGAAGCAACCGTGAAGGTGGCCTAGAGAGGAGGTAGCCGGGTTTGGAAAAGGGGTTTAACGGGAAAACATGGGGACGGGTAAGCTATGGCTGAGTTGGGAAGTGTTTCCAAAATAATGGGCTGATTTTAAGGGAAAGAAATAATGAGGTGGCTAGTTGGGGGGTTTGAATTATTTCCAAGAGAGCAAGGAAAGAATTCCCAAAGGAATTCAAGAGGGAGGGCCGGCAGTAATAGGAGTGAGGGAGGGGATGTGGGGAATTTAAAAGAAATTTCCTAATTCAAAATTAAGAAATAGGAAAGATTTAATTAAATCCTTTCTCATTTAAAATTCAAATAGGAGTTTAATTAAAAAACTTTCCTAAAATAGATTTAGTAAATTAAGAAAGATTTTGAATTTCAAATCAATTGTATTTGAATTCAAAATCGGTCCAATTTTGATTCAATCTAAATTAGGAAATTATGCATTAGGGAAGAAAGGGAGGAAGAGGGGTGAAGGGTGAGGCCGGCGGCTAGGGGAAACTAGGGTCGGCGGTTTGGACGGGCTTTCGGGCAAGGTGGCCAGCGGCTTGTGGGGGAAATTGGTGGAGCTTGATTAGGAGGAATTTCGGTGGGGTGAAGGTGCGTTGGGTTGGTCGGGTGAAATTTGGATGGTGGCCGGCGGCTTAAAGAGGTGAGAAGGGATTTCAAACCGGTGGCTAGTTGTGGAAGGAAGGAGAAGGAAAAAACGATAGGGAAGGTAGAACCACGAACCCGGCCGTCTCCAAGGTTGGTGGGTGATCCGTTTTCCCTCTCCTAGGGATCTCTCCAAAGTTCTTTCCAAGAACTCTCAAACTCTCCCCAAACACACAAGTGCAAGAAATTTTTCATAATATTCATTCATTAATCAAAATAGAACAAAGTGGGGCTTTAAATAGCCTCATACAAATGACTCAAAACAAAAGACATAAATGCCCTTTGGGCTTACATACAACAACTCTCATAAGAGGAGTACAACGGGAAATAATAAAATACACCTAAGCAAATAACAAAATACATGAATAATAAAATACATCAATGACTCAGAAATATAAAGACTCGATTGTGGCCGTAGATCGGCGGCCACGTCTCTGATAAACTTTCCATGATGATCTGATGTCCCCATCACTAATGCCACTGTTATTGCCGTGTAGGGCTGTCGTAGGGGAATAAAATGAGCATACTTACTCAATCGGTCTACTACCACTAAAATCACTGTGAACCCTTCCGATTGGAGTAATCCATCTATGAAATCCATGGATACCTCCTCGCACACCTGACCTGGTAAAGCTAAGGGCTGCAGTAAGCCAGTAATCCTCTTGGATACATGGCTATGTACTTGTTCCTCTGACAGATCTCACATCTGGCTACCAACTCCTCCATATCTTCCAGTACAACTCTAAGGCGAGTCACTTGTATGTCTTATGCATTGTTGAATGACCCCCAACAATGCTCATATGGAACTCCTGGAGAAGGTGTGGAATATAGACTGATATCTTAAGCATCACAAATCTCTCATGGTATAGAAGCCTCTCCCCTTCTAAAGAATAGCCCGAGTGGCTACTCCCATCCTTCAATAAATCTGCCATAATCCTCCCCAGCTCCTTATCTCGTGCACTTTCCTCCTTATTGGCCCCCCAACCCAGCATCAGTGGTATCAACACTATTATCGTCTGTAACTCTCCCATACATCTAGACAAGGCATACGCTGCCTTATTCTCTATCACTGGCATGTATTGGATTTCAAAGTCATATCACAATAACTTTGATAGTCATCTCTGGTGCTCCTCTATCATCATCCTCTGCTCCAACAAGTACTTCAGGCTCCGCTAGGCTATCCTGACAATGAAATGCCGACCTAACAAATAACGTCGCCACTTTTGGATGGCTAAAACAATTGCCATCAATTACCTCTCATAGATTGACTTTAGCCTGGCTATAGCTATCAACACCTGGTTGAAGTAAGAGATGGGTTGATGGCTTTGCATGAGTACTGCTCCCAATCCATATCTTGAGGCATTTGTCTCCACTATGAGGACCTGAGTAAAATCTGGTAGGGCCAAGACCAGCACGGTGGTCATGGTCTTTTTCAATCTCTCAAAAGTTATTGTGGTCGTCTCCCCCCGCAAGAAGCCATCATTCTTCAACTATTCTGTCAATGTTCATACAATGGTGCTATAGCCCTTCACGAACCTCCTGTAGTAGCCAGTCAACTCTAAAATCTCCTCAGCTCCCTAAAATTCTTGGGTAGTGGTCATCTCAACATAGCTTCAATTTTGGCCTGATCTATAGCTACACCCTTCTGAGAGACTATATGTCCCAAGTACTTCATACTGGCCTGGGTAAAGCAACATTTCTTCAGATTGTCTCTCAACCGATGCTCGTGCAATACCTCTAAAACCTTCCTAAAGTGCTCCCAATGCTCCCCATCTGACATGCCAGAATATCATTAAAAAATACCAGCACAAATCGCCTGATATAGGGTTGGAAAACCTTATTCAAGATGGACTGGAAAGTGGCTAGGGTATTAGTGAGGCCAAAAGGCATCACTTGGAACTCATAATGCCCATCATGAGTTCTGAAAACAGTCATCAATACATCCTCCCTTTTTATTCTAATATGATGGCACCCTGACTTTAGATCTATCTTGGTGAAGATAATTGCCCCACTCAGCTCATCCAACAGCTCATCTATCATTGGGATAAGAAACTTGACCGGCACAGTTTTCTTACTCATCGCTTTGTAGTCCATGCATAATCTCCAACTCCTATCCTTTTTTTTTAACTAGTAACATTGGGCTAAAAAAAGGACTCATATTGCGCCTGATAATCCCTACTTCCAGCATCTCTCTGATCAACTTCCCAATTTCATCATTTTGAAATTAAAGATAGTGGTAGAGCCTGACACTGATGGGTGACACACCTTCCCTCAAGGTGATAGCATACTCATGCTCTCTTTACGGTGTCAATCCCTGAGGTGGGTGAAAAACCTCATTGAACTGCTGAATCAATGGTTGTACCGAAAGAGTGATGTCCCCAACCTCCTCCAATCTGATCCCCTCCAATCTCTATAGCTCTACCAGATAACCTTCCCCAACCTCCTGTATGCTCTCACCATGATTTTAAGTGAAACTTTGGATTTGGAGAGCTTTGCATCTCCCTGATCATTACCCTTCTCCCTTCCACCACCAGCTCCATCGTTAATGCTCTCTAGTTGACCTTAGTATTCCTCAAGGTATGTAGCCACTTCATCACCAGGATGGCATCAATACTTCCCAACTCCAATGGGAGAAAATCCTCCCTCACCTGAACCCCTTATATGATCAACACTACTCCCGAACAGATCCCCTGGCCCGTCTCCACCTTCCCTATACACATTATTACTCCATAACACCCTGTATCCACCAATGTCACCCTCAATTAGTCCACGACCTGGTTGGAGATGAAATTTTGAGTAGTTTCACTATCAATCAATGCCACCACCTCCTTGCCTGCTATTTTCCCCTTCATCTTAACAGTATAACACGGAGTGAATCCTACCACTAAGTTCAGGGAGACCTTTGTCATGTTCAGATGCAGCTTGTCCTCCTCTCCCCCTATCTCACTCTCACCTTCCTACTCAGTTTTCTCATCATCACAGACGGTGAGAACCTGAAGATTTAGATCCCGACATCTATGTCTTGGAATATACTTCTCATCACATATGAAGCATAATCCATTCACCCTCTTCTCCTACATCTCCCTCTTAGTCAATTTTTTGAAGTTCCCCCAACTTCCTCCTCCCACTAGCTTCTCCCTTGGGGTCCCATGAATGTTGCCCAATACAGGCCCCTTGGGTGCTAAGAGAGTGGTAGTCATCTTGTAAGAGCCACCTAAACTGCTGCCTCTAGCTCCCCTCTCCTGGTACTTCTGATCCTCCACCTGTTGTGCCAACTCCATGGCCTCTCCCAAGTCAAGATGCCTTATGACCCTCACTACTGTTTGAATCTCTGATTTGAGTCCCTTCATAAAATTCTCCTCTAGAATAGTCTCCGATGGTCGATCCAATCAACTTGCCATGTACTCAAATCTCTCACGGTAATCTACTATGAAGCCTTCCTGCACTAGTGCAAAGAATTTCTCATAGAAAGCCTCTCCCCTGCTGGTATGGAAACATTCCAATACGCATTCCTTGAACTCCCTCCAACTCAGTATGGGCCTTCTCATGTCTCTCCATACCAAGCCAACGCCTTCCCTTCCAAATATAAGCCAGCTACCGTCAATTTCTCTTCCTTCGTCAACCCATTGACAGCGAAAAATACCTTTCTACCTTGTAGATCCACCCATGTGCCTCATCCTCTTCAAAAATGGGCATATTCAGCTTTCAAACCTTCGGATCTCCCCCATTTCTCCTGATTCCTCCATAATTTCCCCTTCCTTAAGTGTCCCGATCCTCTCTTCTATGCTCATACCCATACCCATCTTCACTTTCTCATATTCTTCGTTCAAAATCAGCACCCCTCCTATCATAATCCCCCTCTTTTCTTTCCCAATCAGCACTCCTTGGTTCATGCCCCCCACAACAATGCCTCTCTCCATACCTTCCACCTCTCTCCTCTACGATCTCCACCTTGTTTTCACTCCTACAAATTTCAGAATTCGTATTTCTCCCTACCGGACCTCTTTCCTCCGATGCCACCGTTTGATTTTAATTGTCCAATATCTTCTTCATCATCTCATGAAGATATGAAACTTAGCCTTCCATGGAGGATGTTTTATCCTCCACTGTTGCTTTCATTCAGCTCATCTCCCCTTCAAGGGGAGTGCTTCCAACGCATTCACTTTCTTGGTCGTCATCAATACCCGAATTTTTGTTGGACTAAAAAATCTGGATTTCGACAACAAAATCAGCAAAACAGCCCCTTTCCGGATAAAATTCAGCCGTCGGAATTCACAAAAATAGCCCAAAAAGTATCAAAACTGCTCTAATACCACTTTGATAAGAAACACTTGAGCTTGAAGATCTCAAGTGAAAACCTATTAATCTTGAATAAACAATGAGAAATATCCACCAAACTCCGAGGAAAAACCAAAAAACAACGATTTTATTGCAATAATCAAATATAACGGAAGGAAAATACCAAGATACAGTTGATCCTCAATTCGAGAGAATGATCTATCTCTCCCAATCCCTAGACGCCGCTAGAGCCCAAGATGCCAAGTACTAAGGGCAACAAAATCAGCCACAATTATCAGATAACCCTAACCCTAATTTTTCCTTCCTTCTTAAAGCATACAATTAAACATCACAAGCCAAATCCCTCTACAGCACTAGCCACCACCTCCTTCCTAATGGGATTCCCTAGTGGGCCCCACAATTGCCTTGGGCTGCAACTCCCAAGGTGCAGACCTGCTTGATCTGCCTCATGTAAACTTGAGCCGGCCATTTGCCTATGGCCGACTGGACCGGTCCAGCATGGACTGTTCTAACAGCTACCCGAAGAAATAATAGAAATCACGAAAAATACCACAAAGAAAACTATGCATATACCATTTTGCAAGAGTGAACAAAAGTTAAACTATATTTTCTCCAATGGTTGATCATGAAATTCTGCAGACCTCCTGAATTAGATATAGTAGTGTTTATACAATAAAAAATCAAAGGGAAACTCAGCAAAAGTTTGATTGGATCATTGTGCATCCACAGGAAAAAATAAATAAAATGAGATGATCACATTATTAGCTTTACTTTAGAGCATGTCCTTTCTTCCAGTTCATATAAAGCAACAAACACCATCTAGAATAATCTTAAAAATCATAAATAACATTGAGACTTGGTTCACTAAAATTTGCTGCTGGAATCTTTACATGAAAACCATCTCTTCAATATAAAAATTGCAAGCCTAGCACTCTAAGTAGAGTGATAATAGAAGCGACCATGGGAGGATTTTTTTTTTTTTTTTTTTTTTTTTTTTGCTTCTTACATTTATTGGGACTGGGAAGGTGACGCAATGGCAGTTGTATTATTTTTTATTTTATAAGGTGTGGAGTTCATAAATGTGGTGCTTATAGTGATTATTTTTAGGGGGGCAAAAAAAAAATCTTTATACAGTGCTCCTTGACTGTCACCCTCTCTTTCCATCTCTCTTCTACCTATCTTCTCCAATGGACCGGTCTAACAAATTATTGTGAAAAGATTGTGGAGGAAAATGGCTAGGTCAAATATAACATGACTATAAGTTGTGAAAAAGATATATACAATAGAAATAACACATCATGTAACACTTAGCAAGGATGAGTGGAGAAGAAGAATTCATACTACAAACTCATAATAGTTGGATAAGAAAAATGATAATGATGACAAAGATGAAAGTTACTCCATGTAAGAAAAAATCATTTTAGTGAAAGATGAAAGGTTAACAAAAACAATTCTTAATCAATTTATGATGCATACGGAGCTAAGATGAACATACCTTACAGAGGGCATGGTATTCCTTTTGAAGCCGTTTCACACAAGCTCTCTCAGCCATCAGCTAGACGACCTGGCTTCTGAATAGAAAGCAATGGACAGTAACGACCTTAGTATGAAAGCTAAATCTCTAAAGGTAATCAAAGTTTGATGAAGCCAAACTAAGAAACAACATCGAGCAATGGAGAACTCTAAACCCATTCAAAGTAAAGTAGAAGTGAAATAAAATGACTGCATAAAACAAGCAATAATAGCAAAGTGAAGAATGTAAGATATTAGACTGACTTATATTCTGAACAGAGATAAATGCCAAAAACTTCTTATAGCATTTTAATACATAGACATAGAGAAATTTATAGAAAAATTTGATCAACAAATTAATAATCTCTGAGAAATCACTGAAATATTGACAAAAAATTGCTTTCCTTCAATCATGCAGAAACCTACACCCGTGCTAAAAAGTTAGCAAAGCAGATTCAAATATGCAATGCAATCATATCCAAACCTTGAAAACCAAAGGTTTTACAAAGTATACAAAAAATAATTACAGCATGATTTTGTCCAACGACTGTCTAAATAAGTCAAACCAGGATTATGTAGAAGATTCCTTTAGGTGGATAAATAATTGGGGATGCACTAGAGCTTAGTCCCCAAATTTCATATTGGTTCCGAACAAACAAAAGCTAAGGCAAGTCCACAATTTAAAAGGTTTTTTAACGCTCTGGAAACTAATAATTAAAATCTCCACAACCCAAAAATCTATTATAAACATAAATAAACTGTAGCAAACTAATATTACCACAATAATCACACTATTCACTGTTATTGTTGGCGGTGGTGCTACTACTTCAATACTAATAAAAAAATTGATATCTGTCAATCATATATCTTCATTGTGAAAAAATTTCTATAATAGTACAAAAAGTTGTACCCAATGGAAGAGACTCTAACCAATTGCAGGGTCTACGAAGTAGCTTATTTCCATGATCAAAAATTTCAAAACCATTTCCCCAAACAAAAAAAAAGTAACCTATGCCATTCATTTTATCTTTATCCAAACAACTCCAAATTATTCCTTTTACACTACATTCATTTTTTCAGTCAATCAAATAGCCCATTAATACTAGCAAAATATAATAGACAAAATAACAACAACAACAATTAATAATAAATAATATAGTCTCTAAGATTATTGACAAAATTATATGGTTGTGATAAGTTCAAACTATTAAAAATGACCAGTAGCATACAACATCTAAAAAGAAATCAATATATTATATAAATGTAACGTGGCCAACAAGCTTGAGAGTAGATATAACACAACGACCATGTTGAAACCATCGTGGCTTGAGTATTATTGGACATAAATTTGAAAACATCCACTTTTCGACGAGGGTAAAATATCTCCATCAAAAAAGGCCCACTCATATTCTTAGAAGTTAGAATTGATATGATAATAGTTGTAAAGGGTAAAACTTCAAGCATAATGTATATTTTCTCCTAAAACATAAAAACTAAGGCAAAAGAGCCAAGTTGCACAAAAAACGATATAGGTAGATCTATCCAGTTAGGATTGTGGGTTAGGCTTAAGTTAGACATATATAATGATAGGCTAGCCGTAAATATAAGAGAAAAAAATCAGCAACTGCTTCTGTTGTAAGGATTAGCTTGCCAAGGAAAATTACAGACGTACCACATAAAATAGATGATAAGATTGTGTACATCACCCTTCCTTGGCTTTGCATTTGCAAGAGCTCAATGCACTAGTTATGCATTTTTTTATGTTGAATTTGCAAGATTGAGGAAGGAAAGCAGATAATTTACAAGGTTATTAGCAACTGATTGGTATTCCATATTGCATACAATCTTTAGTTAATTCAGTGGGGGTGCAGTTCCATGGAAGGAGATAGTAGCCAATAAAGGACAATGCTCAGCCCAAAGATTAGACATCAGAACTTATTCTTGTGGCTTTAAATTAACCATTTATCTCTTTTTTCATAACCATGATTTGAATTTCAATCCCAGAATCCTCAACATCTGAAGGGCACATAATGGTACTTCGTGTTCTTGTCTTGAGTCCATGACAAGTAAGTGCATTGTTCTTAAGAGAAACCATGAAGAAGATAGTAGCCAAAAAGGTCAATACTCACCTATGCGTATTAGAATCAAGAGCAATTATTGTGGTTTTGAAATAAACCTAATCATTGTTTTGAATTTTAAATCCCAGAACCCATAATCTGAAAGGTACAGAATGGTATTTCGTGTTCCTTCCTTGCTGCCATGATAGCAAGGGAATGAAAATCATGTGAATTAGGGTCAGCTAGAACATCACTATAGAAACTACTCGCGCAACAACCATGAAATATTAATCGAATTGGGATGCGCAAACGAATACAAAAAGAGAACTAGTAAAAGATTGATAAGCGTAATCTTTTAAAAAACCAACAAACAAGCAGCTTGTTTCATAATAAAGCTCCTTCTAGGAACAGATCCGAAAATTCTCGATGCATAACATATATCCTTAAAAGATACGGAAATTACCAAAAGAAAAAGTGCAGATAACTGACAGAATAAGAGAGGAAACTAGTGCACGATGACGAGCCAAGTCCGTTGAGCGAAGCAGTCCCCTGGTTCCTATGGCCAACGATTAGGGTTTGAGATCTTCAGAACTGAGAATTGAAGCAGATCGTAAAACCAAGCGGAGAATGGAGTCGGACGGGGGAAAATAGGGAAGGGTTCCGCGTCGCTGTAGGCGACGGGTCTGCTTAGGCTTCTTTTTACGCTGAAATTACTAAGGGCACCTACACAAATAACATTTGTGAACATATTTCCCCAAAAAAAAAAAACACATTTGTGAACACTGCGACGTTTAATGTGAATAGTGAGACGTTCAAAAAAAATTTTTGAGGTAAAAATATTGAAATTTAGAAAATGAAATGAGAAAGAATATATATTAGAATAGAAAATAAATTATTATTTGATATGATTGTTTTTTATATTGAAATAAAAAATAGATTGTTTGGTTGGAGATGCATAAGGTGGGCTAAGGGTGTCAATATTTGACACGACATGAAAATCCGATCCAAATTTGGGTTAGACTCGACTCCGTTTCCAAAAATGGTAGGGTTCGGATTTCTCGGATTAGACCCGTTTGAAAAATGGGTCGGATTTCGGTTAACCTGACGGGTTGCCGGGTCAATCGAAAACATGTTTGAATGGACTGCCCGAGACCTGCCCATGGCCTACCCGCCCTTGCCCGGATGCCTGTGGATCTGCCTAAACCTGCTCATGCACCCTACCTGCGCCTGCCCGCCGTGCCTGCGAAGCTACCCGCGCTGCCAGCACCCGGATTAGAACGTCGGGTTAGGGTTCGACTCGTTTTAACACGAGTCAACTTCCGGATTCGACCTGAACCCCGACTCGTGACCCGAAAATTGACACCCCTATGTGGGTATGTTAAAAATATATTGCTCACTTGTAAGGAAGAACCATTAACAACCGATTATAAATATATATATATAATATATAATAATATATATAATATATATATATATATATAAATATATATATATATAATATATATATATATATATATAATACTATATATATAATATATAATTTTAACCAATAATAATATAAAGAGGAATTTATTATTACTTATAATATTTAAAACTAAGTAAATATATTTGTATTATTTTTAGATGAAGTACGTGTTAAATTTGAACTCAAATTAAAATATTTTTCTTAAAATGAAGGATGATATTTCGTTCTTCCACATTTTCGGTATTCCTCCATTGTTTTTTATCATCTTTTTGTTTTAGATTTGTTCTCCTCATAACAAGGTAAATAATTGAGTAGATGAAAATTAGTTTAAGATCAAATAAGAGAGTATGATTTTTGTTTATGTTTGCGTGTATCGTACAACGTGAATATTAGAACACTTCAATAGAGCTCTAATTATGTACCATAGCCAAACTGAGGGCGTGGGGCACTGGCCCTAGACATCTCAATATTGGACTCGACCCGAAAACACGACCCGAAACTCCTGACCCAAAATTTCGGGTTTAGGTTTACCCGTACCCAAACCGAAGCGGGTCGGGTTCGGGTCCTGAAAACCGACCCGTTGAAAGACCACGTCGGTTCGGTTGACTCGGAACCCGAGAATAACCCGAAATGACCCGGAATACACACCCCTGCCCGGGAATAGACCCCGCTGCCCGCCTACCGCGCCTGCCTGCCTGCCTACCCGCCTGCCTGCCTGCCTGCCTGCCTGCCTGCCTGCCGGACGAGTCACATCGCGTTGCGCGCCCAGGTCAAGTCGCATCGCGTCCCGAGGCAATTCTCGTCCTGCGTCAAGTCGCCGCCTGCGACACGTCTGCGTCCGGCAGTTCCGCGCTGCATCCTGCGTCCGGCGAGTCCGCGTCAGCAGTTCCGCGTCGCCAGCAGTTCCGAGGCCATGTCGCAGTCCGCTGGCGTCCATCGGGTCGAGTGGTTGACCCGAACCCGAAGCGGGTCGGTTCGAGTCCAGAAATTCACCAGTTTGCAAAACCGGGTCGAGTTCGACCCGAACATGAATAGTGTCGGGTCAGTTTTGGGTTCCCGGTAACACCCAAAATTGATACAACTTAAAATAAAATAAACCCATTTATTAATCAACCTAAAAAAAAGTTAAAGTCTTATAAGATTTAAGTAATATCATCAAGTTTGGCTTTAGCTTACCCGCCTTTTTGTTCTCAAACTCAACCCCTTCCGTGACATTGTGTCAAGAGGTTCCGATCATTTGTTCTCAGAGTTCTCAACCAAGGAAAGTTATATCTATAACTGGCGATGAGAAAAATTATAGGTAAAAAATTAGGTAAAGGTGTTTGAATAATTCCATTGCAATTTAAGAGAATCATTCATAGAATTATGAAGCACTACTTAACACTTTAGATGTTTAGGTCAAAAGGATCACGACAAGATCAAGGCTTGTTAGATATATGATAATGATGAAGCGTATTGTATCTCATCATACTTTGAATCTAAAGATGATCATATCATATATGAAGGACTAAGACATTAACTTATCCTACGAGGCTTAATGTTGTCTTAAGTAATAATTTACTTATATACGAGGGTGTCCCATGAATTATCCTTTCAAAAGGTATCATATTTTGTGATTATGTCAATGAGAAAAATTTAGAGAAAATTATTAATCTTCATCTTAATAATGTGGAACATTTCATATATGTTTACTTTTCTTTTAGTACTTATATTTATAACTTCGAAGTATGTCGTTCATTGTTAAGTGTTGATGAAATATTTTTTAATACATCTTGTGGATGTACTTTACTTGTGGTACTGGTACAAGATTTTAGTTCTCAACTTTACTAAATGACATTTGTAGCAGTTGGCTCAATAGATAACAAGTCATTGATTTATTTATGAGATTGAGAGAGACAATAAGAATGATGGGGAATATAATATTTGTCTTTGATGGATGTAGTTGTATTGTTAATATTTTATCAGTCATTTTTTTTAGGCACGTTATGGAACTTGCACTCATAATATTGCAATGAAAATTATCATATAATTCATTACCAATAGTTATCATGAAGAATATCATGTAGCTTTATAGACTTATAGAATAGTTGATTTCCATAGGTACTTCAATATAATACATGTCAAGAACCTAACTATAGACAATCTAGAAAATGAAATTATCTTTGAATGATTGACCCTGAAACCCCATATATATTTAGGAGCTTCAATTATGAGTGTCAAAAAATTACCTTACATGAAAAACTTAACATAGTCACGACTTGAAAAATCAAAATTTTGGTTGACCCAATTAAAATTTAGGTTAAGTTTGAGTATGAAATCTTGACCTAATGAAATTTTAGATTGATTTGGGCTGACCCACAAAACTAAAAAGAGTTGGATCATGTTAAATGAGATATTTTTGGGTTAAACAAATTATATTTGGGTTATATATGTTGTGTTGATCTAAAAAATTTGCATGATCACTTAATAAACAGTTAAACAGGTTATTCGGGTTCATGTCGAGTTCAATTTGACTAAAATATTTTGACTCATTTAATAAATAGGTCAATTTTGGCTCAATTATATTTAGGCTGTTAAACTTTAGGTCAGACTTGAACTTGAACCGCCAACTTAAGTTGACACATATAGCTTCAACAATGTTACCAAGAGTGGACATTAATTCTTATCCAATGACTATTTTATTGGAGTTTTTTAGGCATGTAATGCAAAAAGTGTTGTTTGATAGATGCCCCATTAGAACAAATACAAAAGTGTTGTTTGATAGATGCCCCATTACAACAAATACAAAATCTATTTTGACAAACAAGTTTGAAAAAGCATTGAGAAATCTCTTAAATATTTCTCAAAATTTGATTATCTAGTTCATTAATCAAAATGAAGTGCATATGCTTAATATATAGTTATGATATCAATTTATGGGAGAGGATATGAACATGCAGTGATAGAGCCATAAATTTTACCTACACTACTAAAAAATTGATATTTTGACATCATTTAATAACATCTTTTTAAAAATTGTCACCAAAAAGTTTTTTTAGATGCGTATAAACCACGATTTGTACTAATCTCATGCATTCCTTCCCTTACTAATATCTCACGATTCCTCCCCTCCCATGTCACGGTATAAACCGCTCCTTTGCATGCTCGAACTAATCTTGCATTTGTCTCTCATACTCATGGCTGTCTCCTGTGCCCTAGCTCGCATGCACCTCAAACATCTGCAGCCATCTACTCTTCATTAATTGATCAACTACAATCCCACATCCTACATCAAACCAAATTGCCTCCTCCTATGCCCTAGCTCACGAACAGCAGCCCTCATCTTCAATCGAGCACCCGCGTTCACTTACCAAGTAAGGTTAAACAATGGCATGCATGTGAGATAATTTATACCCTCGACTATATATACACTTTGTTGCTATGGAATATCTTTATGTTCTTTATGGTAATAATGTGGAGTTAACCGCTTTTGCAATTACCAAGGGGATTTATTTGTTGCTATGTGTATGAAGCTTTGACACCTATTTTGTTTCATGAATTCCACTATCATCTGAGTCATCTTCTTATTATTGGTCCCTGATTCTTCTTATTGGAATGTAATATTTTTGGGTTCTAAGTGCTACACAATATGCAATATAATAGGCAAAGCTTCTCTAGTGGTTTTAGTTATTGAATTCCATTATCACTTGACACATCTTATTATTATATTCTTCTTGCTCTTTTCTTGTCTCCTTTTGGGAATGCCCTTCTTTTGGATGTGTTTTAGTTGAAGGAATTAGCATACCTTTATGAGCAATTTTAGATTTATGCATGATAGTGGATAGGTTTGTTGCATAAACAACTTAGCTTTTTGAATGTTGCACCAAGCTCTTATATGATTTTTAATAATTTATCACACATTTTTTGCTTCTATGATTTTCTTACATCTCATGTTAGATTTGTATTAGAAATCCTAGACATAAAATGCACATGTCAAATGCCTCATTGCAATTTTGATAAAAATTGAATTATTATCATATGCAATGCAAATTGACATTTTAATTTGGTTTTTTGTAGTAATTTTGTAAATTTTTGATAAATTCTAGCTACTGGTTTTATGTTTTGCTTCCCATCGACTTAGTCGCATATCAAACGTTATTTAGTCCAATTTGTTTGTTGAGTTGTTGTTGATGGGCCAATTTGTGGATCTTCGATTTATTAAATTGGTTTACTGATTTTGTTTGCTTTTGATGTCTTTAGCTCTTCTAATTATAT